GCTCCATTGACAGGTTCTTCATTTTACTTTTAAAATCTTGAGTATATTAGGGAAAAAGTTGCATATTTTTGTGCCCTATTTCTGCCACTCTGCATAACTAATAGTCTAGATATGTTTGTCCTTTATTTTTGAAGGATCTCCATGTTTTTTGATCTAGTAAGCATTGTGCTTTTCAAACCAAATGCATGTTGAGATTGCATTAGATGACAAATAGTGAAGTGGCTTTACCACATTGTACCAGGAACTCCGAGTGGAAGCTTTGCCCCTGTTCTTTCTTTTTCCAGGATCTGTGCTCCCTGAGGTTAGTGGTGGCCATGAGCAAAGCTGACCACTGCTCAGCTGGGTTCTTTGAGAAGGCACACTATTCCCGTAAAAAGAAATCCCTAAACATTCCTTAGGGAAGGATCGCTGTGTTTATATTGCTTAGAACTTGAACCTATTCTAGGGCTATGCCTGTCTTCTTTGGGTCAGTAGGCTAGAGGCTAGTTAGGAAAAAGAGAAGTTAACAATGATCCTGAACTTTTAGAAAACTGAGGCAGCATCTCAGACCAATGAAGCAATCACGGTGGAGAAGGAAAAGAAAGTGAAGACTCAATATCACCCTGACAAATTTGAAAAAAAAATATTTGAATGTTTCTCTGTAATATTTATTTCTCATTTTAATGCCTTTAGTCAAATTTCTCTAGTTTTTATTGCATATCTTTTGCTCTGCAGAGGGTTTATGCCATATATCTATGAATAGCATCTATTTCCATTTGTGTTCATTCAGTGCCTGGTGCTTACTGAACTCTAAGTTATTATTTACTGGATAAAGGAACTTTTTTGACTCATTATAAATAAATATCCTCTGAATTGCAGGGGTTTGTCCATACTTCTCATGCTTGAATTCTGAACCAACTAAAGCATCTTAGGTGTTCACAGTTCTTTATTTTTGCTTCCTCCACTCATGCTTATCAACATGTTTATAAGTCATTCTCTATGAGCATTAGGCTTATCTAACCATTCTTTTCTTTTGTAAGATTCACAACTTTCTTCAAATCTTTTGTTTTTATTTTTAGAAGTGATTTAACATATCAGATAACTTGTAAGTATCAGGCCAACTTATCTGTCTTATTTCAGTTTAGAAAAGTGTTTAGCACCAAGTTCCTCTGCTGCCAAACCATAGATTTCATGCTGTTCATAGACGTGCCTACCAAGAGGAGAATGCGCCCTCAATTGCCAGCGCTGCGTTGGGACTCCTGACAGAGGAACTTTCTTATGCTCACTTTCAGCTGGACGCAGCGGAACCCTTGGCCAGGGTGCGCAGAGGCTACTGTTCGTGCACCAGGATCGCTGGGCGCTCGGGTCAGGGCTCTCCCCTTAGCCCTCGCAGGGGCAGCCTTCCTGCTGGGCTTGTGCGTGGGAGGGGAGCAGTCTTTGTGCGCTGAGGAGAGGCCCTCTGCCTCTTGTCTGAAGAGATAACTGCCACAGGAAGGTAGGGCAGGAAGCCAGGGGCTGTTCCAAACCTTCATTTCTGGATAATTAGCCCCCTCAACTGTGTGCAAGAGCACTTGAGCCAGCGCAAGAGAACTGTGTTCCTGCACATGCGCCCCTGAGCAGCGACCACTCACAAGTTGGAAGTCAAGCATCTTTGAATGCCGTTTAAGTCCTGTATCTACCCAGCTTGCCTGAAGGAATTCAGCCATTGAAAAGGTTGCCTCACTTTGCTGTGCTTTTTAGGTTACCAGTCTAAGTTAGGAGTAAATGATTCCATCAGATCTAGTCATCCCTTCTCAAGTATACAGAATCGTTTTACTAGGAATTGTAACTAATACTACTAATTCGGTGTGATTGCATGTATGTTTCTGTTCAAACTGAAAGGTGTCAGAACAGGTGTTAGTATCCCTTAAGGAACAGTAAAAGTCCAAACTGACGTCAGAAATACCCTCTAACATGTTGTGAAGACTGGCCAAATCAACAGTCTCTGATTCCAATTTCAAAGGCGTAGCCATCTTAAATACAGGCTTAATACCTGAAAGTAGATTAAATACAAAGATAATCATACATAATAATTATAGCTGAGGGTTACATTATACAGAACAACTAATTATAAAGCTCAGCAATTTAATTGGATCAAACACACCAACTATCTATATGAGAAAATAATCACCCAAATGGTTGAAGATCACATTTAGTTTTTGGAATTTAAGAGTCATATACTCCAAGAGTGAAGAATGTCTCTTTAGAAAAGAAATCAGGCAGTTCTCATTGTCCTGGTGACTGATGCTTGCATCCTTAGGTGATTAGATTTCAAAAAGATGAAGGAGTAATAATAATCAGGTAGACACAGCATTACTAGAAGAATCTTGGAATTAAGAGAGAGCTATGTAGAGGATTTCTGCTGCTAGTAGAGAATAATTTCCTCTGCCTTTGCATTATTCATCTCATCTAAATTTTGATAAAGTTCATCACTGTGATTATTATTTCATTTACTATCTTTTATATGTTTATAGCACAATTCCACAGTAGGCACTTTTTCCTTTTCCAGATTAACATAAATATGTGTGCTCTTCATGCCTTTTTAAAAGCAGGTAGTTGACATACCTCACCTTAGCTCATCGAATTCAGAACTTACCCCATTCATGACCTTTCTCATTCATGATGTCTAGAAGTGGGCTTTCTGGGCCATGGTATCTATGTACCTTGTACTTATGCACCTGCAAAATTTTACACCTATTGCATACAGCAGGAAGTATACAGATGATTTTATATGCCCACAGCTACCTTATGAGATGGGAATAATAATCAGTTTTATGACTCAGTTTCTTAGGTTCATTGACTTCTTCAAATTTACACAACTAGTAGAATGTAAGGCCAAGATGCTAAACCAGGATTCTCTGATCATAGAATCCATATTCTTTTTATGATCACATTCAAAGCAGGGAATTCAGCCTTCTTGAAAGAAATCCTGGGCTTAGAAAGGACCCAAATGAGGATATGCCTGGTTGGGGTGACTGTGTCTGATAGTATCCTGAAACTGCTCTGTGAGCACACTTGGGCCACTCCTGACTGGGCTGGTTTAATAGATTTATACAACTTCAGCCTTGGGAAGAGGCTTAAAGGTCACCTCGCCCATTTCTCATGGGGTCATCTAGCCTTTGCCTGGGCGCTGCCTCAGTTCTCTTGAGTCAGTCAGTTCATTTTTTCTTGGGACAGCACAAACTCACAGAAGGTTCTTTATATTCAGCCAGATGCTCTCCCATGGTACTTCCATACAGAATAAACCTCATCCACCTTCTGAATAACAGTCCTTCATCTATTTGAAGGGGATTCCAAATTTCCTTTATTTTTTTGAAAGCAGTCCCAGTGCTTTTCACCATGCTCTACGGGGTTGTATTGCCCCTCTGACCCTGTATTTTCTTCCCTGAATGCTGTGAGATCCTACAAGGTAGCATTAAGATCTAAGCATAATATATCCAGGGCTGATTTAACCAGTGCAGACTAGAGTAGGACTGCCATCTAGGAATTTTAGAGACTATACATCTAAGATGACATCTGGCAGCCCCACAAATTGTTGTGATATAATTCTAGCCAAGGCCCGTTCACACTATCCCCTCACCATAACAAATGCAGATCTCAGGCTTCAGCCAAGCTTAAGAATTCTGAAATCTTGTCATAGCTTCAGGAAGAAACCCCAGGGAAGAGGGTCCAAGGGCATGTTTGTTTCTAGGAAAACGGGCAAGGAGATAGAGGGACAATTGTTAGCAGAGCAGGTGTTTGTCATGTACTCTGGCACCAGAACTTGTGCCCAGGTTTCAGTGTGCAGTGACAGGTCAAAAATAAATGAATAGAAATTGTATTTTCCCAAATGTCTGAGGGATATTAAGAGACAGAAGGCAGCTCTTTTTCTCACAGACTCTGATTCCAATGTAGGGGGCAGCAATTTAGCTTATCTGTTAGTTCTTGCAGTACCCTGGCACCGTGGCCAGGATGGGATCACTGTCCACAGGAGTGATCTTTATAACCTTCGCTTCCCATAGGTACATGACAGTCTAGGGTGCAGCTGAAAGAATATATCCTGCCAATTCATACTCAGAAGGTCTGTGTCCTTTGGAGCACATGTGTGGCTATTATTGGCAGGACAATGAATTTTCTGCTCCTTTTGTGAAAACCTAAGATGATACAGAATAATTTTCAAATGTGTAAACTAAATACACAAATAGTACATTATGATCCATTTCAATTAGAAGAGTAGGTATAAAACTTGTACAGAAATGTAATCACATATTTATTCGTTGCATTCATTTTAGATCCTCATAATAGACAGCTGTAGGGTATTCAGCACTCTCTGGATCAGATTCGAATTAGTGACCTACTTGCAAAACCCCCTGTTCCATGTTCATCAAGCATATCACTGTATTTAAATTTCTAGCACATTTAAAGGTAAAACAAATCATATTTTCATTTTTCAAGGATTATTTCAATCTTTTATAATAGGATGCATCTTTCAGCATTTTAAGAATAAACAGAAGAAAAGACTTAAACATAAAGTACTTTAAAACACTTGAATTTGAGATGTAAACATTTCACACCTATGTGTGTGTGTGTGTGTGTGTGTGTGTACATAAACATAATCTCTTATAAGTTATATTTGGAAAATAGATAGGAAGGCATATAAGCACCTGTTTTGCATTTTGCATTGACAAATTTCAACATGAATTTTATGTGGGGGTAAAATCATTGGGCCCATTAAAAAAGTTGATATGTTTCTATTTTGAAAAAAGCCTGCAATGTTTCTGGGTCTGGACTTGCTCAAAACACCCACATTTCCTACCTCCTCAACATAAATCACTCTCATATATTCTGTGCACAAGTATCCATGCACAGAAAGAGTCTGAAAGAAAATTCTTGAAAGTCATAGAACAAAGAAAGAAGAGTCCTTTAACTGTAAAAGCTGTAATTTATTAAGTGTCTTTAGAATTCATGTAAGGGGCCTCTCTCTTTTTGTTCTTCTCTTGTAGGTCTCTAAGTCCACTGATGACAGGAAAATCTTCAGTGGTTCCAGAGACAAGCTGCTAGAAGTCCTGCACATTTATCTTCTAGAAGGAAGTAAGCTGATTAGGAGAGTGTTCCTTTCAGAAAAGTCAGCCCCCTTTAAACTTTAAAGGACTCCAAATTAAGCCTTGTCCACTTCTGGGACCCTAAAGTGGCTCAGGAAAGCCAAGGGCCACTTGCATAATGTTAGGTGATTTCAAAAGCCTTAAAATTCTGAGGAGGGAGCAAAGGTGGGAGGAGGAACGTGAATCAATTGTGAGAATCTACCAAGTAACAACACATCTCTTTCATTCTAAATATTATGTTCTATTTCATTTTGAATCTTTCAATTAAAAAAAAGGAAGGAAAACTTTTTTAAAAAGATATTTTTCTCTATTAATATTCAGTATTTCAGATATGAGAACAGATCCATCATTCATTAGGTCTAAGGTAGATCACAACCTAATTTACAAATTGAGAAGCATAAGTCAGATCAACTCAATTGCTCAGGGCCATGTAAAGGGGAGTTAGAATACGCACTGAAAATTTCCTGTTCTTGGACTGGTATACTGGGAAATGTTGCTTTTCTATAAGAATTTGTTCATCTCTTGGATTTAGCACAATTTTGCCTATCAGTTGAAAATGTTTAACCTACATCCACTCATATAATATAAAGTATAAAATTAAATCAATGATATAGAAAATTCAGGGCAAACTAGTTTAAATTATTTGGTTCTTCCTAGAGAGTCTCATTTTTTTTAACCTGAAAAAATACGTAATTACTCGATAGCCATAGCTCTAAAGTATATCTGACAGGTTATTTTTATTTGTTTGGTTTTCAGAAATCATGTCCATGTTTTCTACTCTCTTATAGTCTTCTACAAAATTAATCAAAGCCACTCTGTATGCAAAGCTAACACTGTGTTGTCTTTTTTTTTTTTTAACATTTCAGGGCTTTACCTCAAGTGCTATGTAGTAAATTTACAGGGAAAGAAAAATTTTATTAAATTATAACTGAGTGGAGCTGATTTTTTACATAGCAAACAAAAAATTCCTTCATGAAAGGCTATAAAACCCATATTATTTACCAGAGAGACCTTTCCTGCCTCCCAGGTAAACACTTACAGTGTGTAGACTTATGTAAATACATATTTAGGAGTCGCTAAATATGGTGAGGTATTTTTAAAGGCATATTTACAAAGCTGAATACATATATTGGCATTTCGGGGTGTGTAAGCTGTGTATGCTGCCCTGCTGTCTATTCAAAATCCTAGCAGGACTCTGGTAGATACACTTTGGATGTAGGCACTGAGTTTTAAAACATTCATCTTTAATCAGAATTACTAAGGACAGGTCCTCAACTCATTTCAAAAAGGTGAAAATTTTCAACTAATGGAGTTCAAGTCTTTCTTGCCAGTTTGACTTGACGAAAATTGTTTCAGAAATGCAGGCATCATTCATGGGAGTACATCTCCTTTCTGAACATCTTTGTGTGTAAAATAACCATCATTTTCACATTCAGCTCAGAATATTACCAAATAAACAGTGGTATAGTCTATATGGTGAATGGGTCAACTGGGGAATTTTAGTTAAGGGGAAAATGCCATTAAGATGTTTCAAAAATACTTTAAAAACACATGAAAATATAAGTGGTAAAATCTGTTGTTTGTTAATTCAATGTCAGGAAGCTTCCTACGACAATGTAGTGAAACTCCATCTGGAGGATTCATGACTTTTTTCTGTTTCTCTCTGCTTCTTAGGAAATATGTTCTCATGAGGCAAAGAACGGGATGGTAAAAGAGAGGTTATAGATGTATCAAAGATCTCTACCTGTGCTTCTGCTGTCTGCCATCCCTGGGAATGAATAAGGATCCCATTTGTGTAGAAGGCCTTGTTTAGTTTTAAGGTGGAGAAGTTGAGAGTCTAAATAACTCTAGAGCTTGGGCTAAGAAGTCTAAACAATGTTTGTATTTCATTTCTAATGAGTACACAGCTATTTCTAAATGTTCTATATACCCTGTAGTGGGATAATTGAACATCTTATTATGGTAAGCCATATGGGGGACAAAGAGTATTTATTCTGTGAAATGTTTTCTCCAGTAAAATTTGCACTGGGCTGAGGTTTTTAACTTTACAAAAATATACATCATATGTACATATTTTTCCTAAGGTGCAAACATCACAAATTTTGATTAAACATTCTGGGTTTTTAAACTTTAAATATCACTTTAATTTAAAATATTATGCCAGTGCTATAAGGCCTCTGGAATGTAGAAGCTTCTAGTACAAGTGCTGACACAATTTTAGTTTTAATTGTGACTGAGTGCACTCTCTATGTATTATTTGCACCAGTGTTTTAGACTTGGAAAACAAGATATCCCAGGAAAATACAATCTTCATTTAAATTTATTTAGCATACAAGCAGGCACAGACACCGTTGCATTATATATTTGATTAGTTTTATTCCATCTTTAACTTTATTCTGTGGCTAAGTATCTCATTTCCATGTAAACTTCCATTAGGAACACAAATTGCTGACACCACATCTACTGACAAAAATGCCACAACATAAATTACACCAAGAATACACCGCTTTGGGTGGGGGAATGGCAAGGGAACTAAGTTAGATAAAAAGCCACTGTGCTACTGCCCAGCCTGCAACCCTGTCCCGCTGACCACTGATAAAATTTATCACAAGGCCGCATACAGGAAGGCAGCCCAGAGAAGAGTTGTCTGTGGTAAAACGTGTAACAGCAAACAGCTAATGGAGCATTATTACTTTATTGGAAAGCAGTATCTCTGGATACTTTACTCTTCTAGCTTTAGCAAGTGTATGAATTGTTCTTCTATATGCAGAAGAGCTGATAGGAAAATAAAAAGGTTGTTGGAACTCTGCATGATGGCTGTACGGTTCTCCAGGGCTCACCAGTTCACCGTCCCCTGCCCTGGCCACTTAACCAGCTGAGGCTGGAACGCCTTACGACAAACTTAAAAGCCACTCTGAATCTTTATTCTTCAAACAATGCTGGATCTGTATTGTCAGGTCTTTGTAAAGGTGCAGTCTTGTAAATTCCTGGCTAATTTCTGTTGCCGTAATTTGGTCCTGGCATTAGCTGAAAGTAAAAGATCCAAATTCCATCAATAAAAGGAATCTCATTGACCAGGAAATGTGAACACTTTTGTCATTGGATGGGGCTTATGCTTGAGAGGTTGAAAGGAAAGTGGCTGGGTAAACTTGTGTGCGCACGGGACAGCCCCACTGAGATGGTTAGAATGGTTGTGAAGGTAAAAGACTAGGTGGTGCAGTGGCTAAAATGCCAGAGAGGACAGCATTTCCGAGAAACCGGAGGCGGCTCGTTGTCACGTGCTGCCGGGAGGCTGAGGGGCATGACGTCACCAAGATGGCGACCTGGGCGGGTGCCGACTGCGCTCCCCGTCGCGGGAACCGCCAGCTGCAGTGCGAGCACGACCCTGCCGACGGGCCTCCACCCCCGCTGCACCGCGGCCGAGCCGCACGCCTGGAGGGTAAGAGCCGCTCCTGCAGTTCTCCTGCATTGCCCTCCCGGGCGGGCGCAGCTCCACGTGAGAGTCCCCTGAGCCTCCCGTCCCTCCATTGGAAAAAATGGTTAGCACACCAGGGGATTTTTATCATCTTTTTTGTCAGAAAGCTGTGTCTTAAAACATATAATTGGACATGCAAGGTGTGGTTGTTTCTGCTCCTCATACACCACCTGCTTCTCCGCTCTTGTCCTGAGCTCCATCTAGTCCCATGCTCGTTGAAGTCAGGGATTTTCGATACACTGGGTCCAGTTAATGTTAAGAGAAACTGCATGGCTACCCAGTGGGGTCAACTTTATGCTAAAGCTGATAATGACTGCGGGAGGATATTAGTAAGAGCAAAGATTTCATCTCTTACTGTCAACCTCACCCTTCTTTCCTTCTTGTCCAAATCCATTGTGAATGCCATGTTTATATAACCTCTCTAGGAAGCCGCTTATGTAGCTAGCCTCTATAATTCCTTGGGTTAATATTTCATGTTTACTACCTGCAATTTAAAGCAATACATTATTTTATTTTTCCTAAATACATCTCATTCAAGCTGTAAGTGAAATTATTATAATATCTAAGTCACCATTTTGGTGAATAATAGCTACCGTTTATTGAATGCGTAATATATAGTAGGCACTGTTTTGGAGCTTTCTGTATGTTAACTCATTTAGTCGTCAAAAAAAACCGTATGAAAATACTTACTTTCTTCATTTTGTGATGGTGGAGTTTGAAGTTTACAGACTTTGACACAGTTTATTCCAGATCACATAACTGATAGACTTACTCATTGGAAAACAGTATTGGGAGTTTTATGGACAGACAATGGATTTTTTCCAAGATTGTGAGGTATGGAGAGCATCAAACAGGCCTTTTTCCTTTGTCTTCCATGGGCATAATGAACAGCATATAGTACCATGCATACGGGAGTGTGTGTAAGGGTGAACTGCATGTTGCCTTTTATTATTAATGAAGGGACTTCAGCAAGCCACCTGATCTCTAGGCCTCAGTTGCCTTAAATGTAAAATATGAAAAATAATCCTTTAGCACTATGAAGTTAGAGGGAAGAATCAGTGTATTCCTTCCAGGTTTTAAGATGCTGCTGATAAAATGGCAAAGAAAAATAATGCTATCTGTGTAATGATGCAGAGCCAATTCACCAAAAATCTACCTGTCCCTGACATGGGTCTTGATACTGTAGTGAGCAATACAACGTAGTTAGTTGAAAAACAGGCACTTTATATTAGCAAAACCTAGAAAAAAGGGAAATAGCTAATGAACCTGCAAAGAACACCCATTAGGGTAGGAGTCAGCATCAGCTGACTCTGTACTCTCAGTCAATGTGCTCACCACATATCTTTGAGAGTCTCTGTTTAGAAAATGGAAGAAGAAATTGATGATGGAACACTTAGCCTGTGAACCGGGATGGATTGTTGTCTTCATTGAGTGAAGAATGTAGACTTCAGGGTACCTGATTTCTAGGTCCATATATTGTTTCTGGGAAAGAAAAGAATCTTCATGCCAACTTT